CCCTAAACCCAAAACCCTAAACGAAATAAACACTCTGCAGAAATCGCTACGCTGGGCCTTTGAGGGCTGCCGCCTCGGCAATGGCCGCAAAGCTGTCGACGGAAAGCAAGCCCAAGAGGCCGCTTTCTAGAAGCCTCGACGCATTTGGGGGGTTTAAGGCTTATAGGGTTTAGNNGGGTTTAGGGGTTTAAGCGTTTAGGGTTCAGGGTTTAGGGTTTAAGGGTTTTCGGGCTTAGGAAGGTTTGGCTTCTTTTGCTGGTTGCAGGCTCTTTTCCGTCTGCACGTGGCTACGGACTACAGAAGCCTGTCGAGGCGAGCAAGTTCGACTCCCTCGTGCACCTGCAACTTTCAGGAAGCAAAGAACAGCAAAGTTAGGGCTTCCCTCCAGGTTAAGGACTTATAAAAAAGAAACTATCATAAGGAACCCTAAAAAGGTAGGTTATTTGGGGTCCGGGTGGAGTTTGGGGTTAAGGGTCCAGGGCTTGAGGCGGGTATGCAGGGCTTCGTTGAAAGAAAGCCATTTTATGCAGGTTCTATGAGGGTTCTATAGAAAAAGATCTATCTTGCACTAGTCACTAGAGTACCACAATCACAGCGATGAAGAACAAAGTGAAGTCATCATCAGCAGCGGCGCCGACGCCGTCAGACTCGAGGTTACCGTCACTGTCACCACCACCCCGCCATTGCCATCATGTAATTCCTCATCATCACCATCATCATCGTCGTCGTCATTATCATCATGACCGTCGTCGTCAGGAGCAGCAGCAGCACGACCACACCACCACCACAACCATCACCACCACCACCACCACCATCATCTCATTTGCACCGTAATACAGCAGCAGAAGCAGCCACGAAACCTGACAACAGGAATGGTCAACACCACCCAGCCATAATCTAGGTGGGCTCACTGCTTCTACCGACACGCGGCATTGCAGCTACAAGTCTTAGATTCTTGCTACAACCACCCTGCCACTTTACTACCAGTACTACCATGACAACTCGTGCGTCACCACCATTTTAACTGCTCTTATTACAGACTCCCAAGCCTTAAACCCGAACCTCCTGAAGCCTCAACGCCAAACTCCACCGCCGTAAACACATGAAGCTGCAACCGACTCTTTCTAAGGCTCCTTGGTTTGAAACCCTCAGGTGTCCTCTTGGAAAAGTCGGCTTTGTGGACCGTTGGGGTTGCAGGTATACCACCATCAAGTAAAACCCTATTAGGGTTTAGGGGTTAAAGGGCTTAGGGCTCGTCAAGTAAACCCATATACCGTAGAGACCCCTGCAAGACGATTGGAAACGCATCATGAGACCAAAGCTCCCGAAACCCTGAGGCCAAAAGCTCTAAAGGACCCTCATGGAACCCATATAGATCCCTTAACCGAGCCGTTGAAGGAACCAAGCTTTTCTGCTGAGGCTCGGTAGGACGTTCTGGACCTGCCAGCGGTGGGCCAAGTCCAGGGCAGCCAGCACAGTTCTGTAGTCCGGCTCCTTGTCTTTCTTGGGGTTTATAGACGGGCAAACCCTACACGCGAAACCCTGGTCTAGGAACCAGGGTTTAGGGTTTAGGGTTCAGGGTTTAGGGTTTTATGGTTTAAGGTGATTCGATTAAGAAGCGCAAAACATGCTACAGCTGCCCCCCGTAGGGTCCAACCATCCAAACATGCACACCCCGACAACATAAACTAGGTTACTGCAGAGGCATTAATGAGTAACATTTTCCGTAGGGCTCTTTATTGTAAGTACACTATCCTGTACCAAAAGCCCTATTCTAATTACGAAGGCTTATTCAGGACCCTGTATTATTCCTACAACTCTAAGCCCTAAACCCTAAACCCCTAAACCCCAAACCCAAAACCCCTAAACCCTAAACCCTAAACTCTTAACCCCTAAACCCGTAAACCCCTAAACCCTAAACCCCTAAACCCTAAACCCCTAAACCCCTAACTCCTAAACCCTAATCCCCTAAACTCCTAAACCCCAAGCAAGGCCTTCCTAGACACTCTGAAGCCTTGTAGGGGCTCAGCCAAGGCTCAGTGCGTGTTGCCGTCGTGTAGAGCATCTCCAGAAAAAGCGAGACCTAGGATGCATAGGATTTTAGGGTTTAGGGTTTAGGGTTTAGGGGTTTAGGGGTTTAGGGGTTTAGGGTTCAGGGTTTAGGGTTCAGGGTTTAGGGTTTAGGATAACATTGACTGGCCCCCAAAGTAGTCTATGAACTTTGTACAGGTATAGTTGTAGGACCACAGGGCAAACTTGGAGAGTATTCATAGGCTTTCCAAAGTGCCACCTGGATGCCCCAGCACTCGGCGAATCCTTGACTTGAACCCTCTTGTTCGAACCTTCCTTCATGGTCGACTGCAACATTGCTTTCAGGACAGGGGATGTTGCCATCAAGATGTGATCATGAGCTGTAACTTCACCATCTGCTGTCTCAAAGGTCACGTTGTGCGTGTCAGCCATCTCCAAAACGGCTTCCCACTGATCCAGAAAACTTGGGTGGACCTTCACGAACTCCTGTGCCGGATTCTGAGCAAAGAGTGACATCACCTCGGGGTGCTTTAGGGACTTTAGAGCTTTAGGGTTTGGGGCTTAATGCCCGAGTTTAGGGCTAGTTCGGGGGTTACTACACGGGCTTATGAGGGTTACGATTTGGGTTTTGCGGCTTGGGCCTGGCTGCTTTCAGCCCAGGTCAAATTCATGGGTCTGGCTTCGTCATCTTCGGGTGCCAGCAACCGTCTGCTACTCTTTTCGCCCCAAGACACTTTACGGGCGCAAAGAGACTGGATATACTTCGCACTCTTATGCTTCTCTCAACGCTGCAAGAGATCATTCTAATACCAGTCTGTCTCAACTCCCTAGCCCCTAAAACCCAAGAGATAAACCCTAAACCTTTTAAATTCTAAACCCGTAAACCCCTAAACTCCTCACCCTACCTTAACCCCAAGTAACTTGCCTTATTAAGGGTTTAGATGAGGAAATCATAATAAGGAGCCCCAAAAAAAGGTAGGCTTATTCGGGAGCAGGTAAGCCCTAGACAGGGTTTAGAGTCTACAGCAAAAGCCAGAAAGTTGGAACATCATTATCCTCATGCCTTACAATGCAATGTATAGGGGTAGTTCTCTAAATCAGGGTCCCTTTTGTGGTCCCCAATATAGTCCGGCACCCTTATAACAAGGACCCCCCAAAAGGGACCCCTAATTTAGAGAACTACTCATAGGGGCCCCACACCTCTTCCAGGTACCTCTGCGCGCTGGACCAGTCTAAGCTGCTTTCCTGCAGCGCTTTCAGCCACGCCAGGATGAAGGAGATGGAGGAGTGCCCCGCATAAGGGACAGTGACCTGGATCGGGTTTAGGGTTTAGGGTATAGGGTTTAGGATTTCATTTAGGGGTCGAAAAAAGTACAACTACTATTTAACTATGTTGGGATTCCGCTTTATTTTTTTTCGGGATAACATACCCCAAAAAATGTATTCTAATTATTAAACCCTACCCTGAACGACGGCTTAACCTACTTTTTCGTAGCGTCCCTCTAAATTCCATGTTAGCGTTTATAATTACAACCTACAAAAAAGTGCGTTCTGGTAGTTTAAGGTACCCACATGCTCCATAGTAGCCCCTCTTGGTGGCTTGTACTTAGGATCCTATAAGATAATCCCGAAAAGGAACTACTACGTACTGTGGAGCCTGTGGGTATATCATAAGGGTTGGAGGTTTTGGGTCCCCAGGGTTGACCGGATCAGGAGCCCCAAATTCAGAATTTTCCCCTACATGGCAGAGCCAGAAACACTTTAAGGGTTTAGGGGTTTAGGGTTTATAGGGGTTTTGGGGTTTAGGGTCATTTTTTTAGGGTTTAGCGGTTTAGGGTTTAGGGGTTTAGGGGTTTATGGGTTTAGGGTCTAAGGATCGCAGATCATAAACACTCCTACTGCCTGAAAGGACCCTTCTAATAAGAGCTCCGTGGAAATTCCTATCAGAAAGCCCCTTCTAGATCCCATGCATAAAACCCAATAAACACACCATAAACAACCCTGCAAGACTGCGGTATGGAGCCCGTATTGTTCCTTAGAGCAAGCTTCCACAGAGCCGAATAAAGCCCGATTAACATGAAAACCCGAAGCGGCTCCCCCTTAACCCCCAACCCTAAACCCTAAACCCTAAACCCTCAACCCGAAAGCCCTAAACCCTAAGGCTTACGGCTTAGGGTTTAGGGCTGAAGGTCGAATTCCGCCCACCTTGGTCTTGCTGCCTTCCGTGTCGGATCGCTTCCAGAGCATAATTGACGACGTCGTGTTTGAGGAGGAGAACTTCTGCTGCGGGTCTGCACCTGCGTTAGGGTTTAAGGTGTAGGGCTTAGGGTGTAGGCTTTAAGGTTTGGTGCTCGGCCTTTGGAGTTCAGGATTTAGGGCTCAGGGTCTATAGATTTAGGCCTCAGGGTCTAGGGTTCAGTGCGCTCAGGGTTAAGGGATTCGGGCTTTCTTCCAAAGAGTGGGCCTGGAATGGTTGAAAATCCCACAGAAGCCCATAGATCCTCAGAAAAAAAACCCTAAAAGCCTAAGGCTCCAAAGTAGTTCCTTTTTGTGGTCTATATTTAGGATCCTATAAGGTACTCCCGAAAAGGAACTACTATGGAGCCTATGGGTAAACCCTAAACCGAGTCCAGCTTGTAGCGTTTAGGCGCTTGGAAGCTCCCTGGTTCGTATCTGCATTGGAAAAGATGAGTCTTAAGAGTCATACAGCTGATGATATACATCCTGCATTACCTTCAGGACCAGAAACTATGGGAAGTATGGTTGTCATCAACCGTAAGACGCCCTTAGTATTATAAGGAGTAGCCCTAAAACAGAATCAAAACCCTGGCTAAGGCAGGGATATCCCTTCATTAGCCAAGAGGGCCCATATCTACTACAAATATGGAATGAAGTCCCCAAGACCATAATAAGGATGGTCTTTTGGGGCCTAACTCCATAGTGGTAGTGTATATGGACCCTTTGGGTAACCAGTACTGAGCAGCCTGGGCTGCCGAGCATGGATTTAGTGTCTGCCTGGGGCTTTAATTGCCTACCGGGTAATGGCTGCTAAACTGTAGGTACAGAGAGTTACAGGCGAGGCTTCCCGCGGGATTTAGGATGACGTGGCTCAGGGTTTCGGCGTCGCCGGGTCTTGGAATTACTGCAGGTTTGGTAATGAGAACCTTTTAAAACTTAAACCCATCGGATCTGATTCGGGGTCTGGAACTTTGGGTCAACATTCGGGTTTTCGGCTTCAGGGTGTGGAACTTCGGGTGAACCTTCCTCCTGCACGAGGCTACTTAACTAGAGCTTCATACTACGATTGAAGGAATGATGCCCGTAAGTCTCTCAAAAAACAGCCCAAGCCCAACAAACCTGGAGTCGAAATCGTCAGCTAAAGAGAACGGGGGATTTCAGTCAAACCGAGAGAGCCCAATTTTCCCGCGTTACGGAATGCTCCTTCTCGAGTCAGACCCGAAAAAAATTTAGACTAGCATTTTAAGGAATATTTCTGGATTACTGAGCATCGGGCTTTTGTGGGGGGTGGACTCTGCAGACCCAAACCACCTAAACCAAAACCCTAAACCCGAAAAACCCCAGACCAACCCCCCCCCCCTAAACCCTAAACCCTAAACCCTGTTAACTGCCTTGCTGCAGCAGCCACTCTATGATGGCGGGGCTCGACTCGCGCTTTGTCTGGCAGATGAGGCCATTCACGATCGCGTCCTCCAGGGGCCTCTAAAGACATGATGAAGGTCGGTAGGATTAAGGATCCCTTACAATGAACTCTTTATGTAGGGGCCTTAATAATTAGAATAGGGTGTTGGGGGTTCCTTGTTATTATTATTATAGTCAAATACACCCCAAACCCTATTCTAATTATTAAGGTCCCTTATATATGGATTCTACTTGGAGGTCCATGGGTAGTTGTAAGTAAGGTTATAAGTCCCCTAATATGGGTTATAATTATAGATACCCTACTTATAACCCCACTTATAACTATCCATGAACCTCCAAGTAAGTATCCCTATCTGGTAATACCCCACCTACTTTGAACCCTCGGCCGCGGATCCCTTTCAGTCCCCCTTTGAGGAGTTGAAGGAGCTCTACCCTGCGTCCTGAAAGCCTGAAACCTCTCAAGCTAAGGGCTCCCAACCCAGGGTACTTAAAACTTGGTTTAGGGTGTAGGGTTTAGGATACTTTAAACTAACCCTAACAACCCAACCCGAAACCGTAAAAACACCCCGCAAAACCCCAAGCCCTGCAGCCCTAAGCCCTAGCAGGAGTCCTGAAGCGGGGTGCAGTGCGGGCATTCGTCGTCAGTTTGCGTCCAGTCGAACCCCGGTGGAGTAAACTTCTTCAGGGCAGCGAGATCCCCAAGCCTGCTGCATTGTGGGTTTAGGGTTTAGGCTTCAGGGTTTTTAAAGGGACTCTGTAGGGGTTTTTTATCATCTTTCTACATGGGCTTCATGAGGCTTTATGATCCTTTTATGACATATCTTGAGGCCCGAGTTTGGTCGATAAGCCCTTACTGCAGGACTTCTTTGGGTTAGGGTAAATAAATAAAGGCTCTTAGTTTTCTGGTGTTATTGGGGTGATCGGACGCCGGACCTAGCAGCTAACAGCAGCTAGCACATAAGGCGTATGTAAGGGTAGAAGTGTATGACCCCACGTGGGCTTAGGGCTTTAAGGTTTAGTGGTTTAGGGCTTTAAGGTTTAGTGGTTTATGGCTTTAAGGTTTACTGGTTTAGGGTTTTATGGTTTGCTTTTGACTTTGAGGGTGTACCGCTTTACTTCAATAGGTCCGATGAGCGTCCAAGTGCCATCAGGGCGCAATCACAGTCGACTTGTGATGAACGGCTTAGGGTTTAGGGTTTAGGGTTGAGGGTTCAGGTAACATGTGATGGTACCAGACTCTAAACTGCAAACCCCTAAAATCCTACACCCTAAACCCCTAAGCCCTAAACCCTTAGCCCGAAATTGCACTCTAAACCTTACACCCCTAAGCCCCTAAAGCCTTGGCCTCGAAGCTTATAATATACATCTCATAAACCCCAAAACCCTAAACCGACTTAGGGTTTAGGGTCTATAAACCCCTTACAGAACCCTCATCGAAGCCGTTAAGGAGCCCCCTCTTCGGCAGCCTGATCAACCCGAAGATCACCTCCTTCCCAACAGTGCGGTCCATCCCGGCCAGGTGGCTCGGCCCGCAGCTTCTTTCGGGGTTTAGGGCTTTGGGGTTTAGGGGGTTGGGACCTGAGGGTGTAAAGGGTTTAGGGCTTTAGGGTTTACGAGGGGGTTGTAAAGGGTTTAGGGTTTTGGGGCTTAGGGGGTTTAGGGTTTAGGGTTTAGAAGGGTTTTAGGGTTTAGGGTTTTCGGGCCTGAGGGTGTTGTAAAGGGTTTAGGGCTTTAGGGCTTTATGGCTTTAGGGCCTAAGGGTTTTGTAAAGG